GTATGTGAATTGACAGTGCTGCATTCTCAGTGTATGGGAAGTTGAGGCACAGAGATGAGGATATCTTCATTTACATAGTGAGGATATCTTTATTTACATAGTGAGGATATCTTCATTTACATAGTGAGGGGCAGTATGGGACACGTGAGACCTTGCTTGTCTTAGTGGACATTTCTATTGCTATGATGAAAGACCATGAACAGAAAGGAAGTTGGGGAGGAAAGGGTTTGGTCACCTTATACTTTCACAGCACTGTTCGTGACTGAAGGAAGTCAAGGCAGGAACTCAAGCAGGGCAGGAATATGGAGGCAGGAGCTTACATAGAGGTCATGGAGGAGAGCTGCTTACTGGTTCGCTCCCCATGGCTTGCTCAGCCTACTTTCTTATGTAACCTATAACCACCAGCTCAAGGATGGAACAACCCACCATGGGGTGAACTCCCCCTCCATCAATCGCTACTTAATAAAATGCCCTACAGGGTTGTGCACAGCCTGACCTTATGATGGAATTTTCTTAATTGAAGTTCCTTCCTCTCAGATGACTCTAGCTTGAGTCAAGTCCACACAAAACTAACCAACACACTGTCCCTTGCAAGAACAGAAAGAAAGGAAGGGAGACAGGCAGAAAGGAAATAAAGAACAAGAAAATATAAATCTTATTTTCCAGAAGGTTAAACTTTTCAATACTTATAATTTCATCACAGTGAAACTATTGAAAATTGTGTATTTCAGACCTGCCACATCACATATAAATCTCTAACCTCTTTTCTAATTAAAATCTCCCTTCTTCTCCTACCCTCTCTCCCTCCCTCCCTCTTTCCCTTTCTCCCTCTATCCCCCCTCCTCTGACTCCCTTTCTTTCACCTTGTATTATGCAGTGTGTGTTCTTTCCCTATTATAGATCTTGGCAGATGACATATATTTGTTCCTAACATTAATCTTAGTCACCTATCCCTTTTTGTACCTGACCTAAATTGTGCTTTGTGCATATGTGTATAAGTGTGTGTGTGTGTGTGTGTGTGTGTGTGTGTGTGTGTATGTGTGTGTGTACAGTCTTTATAGACCCTTGACCCAAATTTTTGCTCTCACTAATTCATTCACTTCTCTTTAAGGCAGAAACTTCTTTATCCTGGCTTACAGCATAGATCTAAAGAATGAAGTTTTTGGAAGAAAGATTTAAAGGTCCTCTGTGGCCCATGTGATGAATACATATTAGTGGCAAAGACAGCTAAGTGTTCTGCAACATGTGTCCCTCTTCTTTATAGAACTGCACTGACTGTGAAAAGTCCATCACCTAGACAGGATGACAAGGTTTGCTCTTCCAGTGCAATGCAACCAGTGACCCTGTTAGCTGCATTTACATGAAATTATTTTATAAGATGGCATGCCTCCTCTCCATCCCCCTCTGCAGGCCATTCTGAAATTTTGGGAGCTGGAAGACATGAGATGGATGGAATTTGTTTTCCTGAGAACATCTGGGTGAAGTCCCAAGATAGCACAGTTAAGAAAGTGAGAAATAAATCCTCATTTTGATGAGCCACTGGAGACATGCAGGAGTGTTTATTACAACAATTAACATTGCCAACTAACACAGAAGTTGATTCCTTGCTACAAGGACAAAAATCTAAAGCATGTAGTATTAGTTCAATGGCTACCACAGCAAAAAGTAAAAAAAAAAATACATTAAACTAGGAAGACAGGAACTTGTGTTAGATAGTATGAAAATTAGTCAAACTGTCACCAACAGAATTTTGACCATGGTGGGTAGAACTTGGTGGAAGAAATTCAATCAGAATTCACTAAATGTTAGGGGAATTCTGTTTTTAAGACTCAAACAAACAAGGGCCTGGACAGAAAAAGCAACTGTGCCTTCAAATTTTCCATAGTAGGTGCTAATGTCCAAAGTCTTTGTAATTCCCATAGGCAACACTTTACCTCTGTAGTAATGCTGTCACAAATTGACCAAAAATTTGTTCATAAACACACACACACACACACACACACACACACACACACACACAATTGTCAGAATATAATGTTGGAGGCCAGGCATCCAAAATAGGTTTCAGCAATCTGAAATAAAATTGTCATCCAGGTTATACTCCCCTGGAGACTTTGGGAGACAGTGTTTCTTTACATTTGCCAGCATCTGGAGAAGACTTTTTCCTTAACCTGTGGCCTCTTTGGGGTTCTTCTAATCTTAAAAGGCAGCAAAGGGCAGTCCAATCTTTTTCCACTGTGTCAATCTGAAAATGACTTTGTTTCTTTTGTCATTCACAAAGATGCTGCTAGTTAGTTACATTGAACCTGTTCAGATCATCCTTTCTCTACCTTAAGGCCTGATATCAACTTTCATTCCCTCTTCAATGTTATTTCCAGATTGATATGGCTTAGGACATATGGAGAGGTGCCCTGATCAGGACTTAAATCTTAGGTATGGGGTGCTTTTCTGTTGCCCACTACTCACTTTAGAAGCAATTTTTAAGGGTGACATATGGAGGCATTCATAACTTGGAACCAATAGCCATAAAAATATACTAGACTGGGAAGTTGGTTTTCAACAGAACCCAGGCACTTTCTGAATTTGTCCAGGGTCAGTATTCTTCATTCTGTCTGCTCAGGAAGGCTCTGTTTCTCTTGAGGAAGAACAATGGTTGTGTTTACACTGTTTTCCTTTTTGCATATAAGGACTTTTGCTGAAATCTTTCCATTGTTCAATCTTTATTAAAAGTATTTCTTTCATTTTTTTGGCATTATAATATAGTTACATCTTTCACACAGCTCAATTCTTATAGTGGGTTCATGGTGGGGGAGACCCAGGAATTAGGGGAAACCTGAAAGATCCTTTACAGGAAACTGGATGAAGGGAAGGGGTGAGAGATTAGCAAAGAAGAACAACGTTGTCTGTGAGAGAAAAAATGAAACATAGGAACTTGACAGGGGAATAGTCTGTGGCAGACACTGGAGTTGCCTCCAAACTGTTTGCCCTGGCTTCCATGGCATTTATGGAAAGTTACTGGCAAGCCAAGCACCTCATTGGTCAAGGCACACTGTGTGAGAACAATTACCTACTCTAAGGGAATAAGGGTAGATATTTCATGTCTTTAAGAAGTACAGGCAGAAATGATAGCTTATTGCTGTAATTCCAGCGATCAAGGGAGGAGGCAAGAGAATTTTAGGGATTTGAGGGCAACCTGGTCTCCTTGGGGGAATTGGAGGCCATCATCGGCCACACATTAGGTTGTGTCTGCAAAACACAAAATGGCAGTGGTTAATGCTTCCATACCTCCTTACCTCCTTTTCTCTTTGTCTTTGAAAGCAAAGGACTCCAGAACCCAAGACAATATAGACACAATGTGAAAGAATGAGTCAATATAAGAATAAGACAATAAAGACACAATAGGAAAGAATAAATCAATATAAGAATAAGACAATAAAGACACAATATGAAAGAATAAGTCAATATAAGAATAAAACAATAAAGACACAATATGAAAGAATAAATATAAGATTAAGACAATATAGACACAATAGGAAAGAATAAGTCAATATAAGAATAAGATAATATAGACACAATAGGAAAGAATAAGTCAATATAAGAATAAGACAATATAGACACAATAGGAAAGAATAAGTCAATATAAGAATAAGACAATATAGACACAATAGGAAAGAATAAGTGGGTTCCTTGGATGTGTCACTTGGCATCTAGGTAGTCAGCTGAATGTTTTCTTTCCTGCTAAGCTAAATATTGAAGGGTTTTGACCTATCACAACAATCAGTGTAAACCCAATATATATTTATCTATATCTTCAAAAGAAATTTGAAATTTTATGAAAAATTTGTCTGTGTGTTTTTGTGTATGGAGTGCGTGTGTGTGTGTGTGTGTGTGTGTGTGTGTGTGTGTGTGTGTGTGTGTGTAGGCTAGACATAAAGTTCAGATCTTACCTATCTTGTTTTTGAGACAAGGTCTCACTTGGCTTGGAACTTGTTTACTACACTAGGCTGGCAGGATCCTCCGTTCTCCACTTCCCCAGAGATCCACAAAGAGCCTGTGTCACCAAGTCTGACTTTTCTTCTTGGTTTCTGGGGATGAAACTCAGGTTCTCATCACTTCACTGATAAGGCATCTCCCTAGCCCACTCTTACAAAGCATTTAAAAACCCTTCAGAGTATTTTATGTTTCCCATACTAAAGTACCCAAAGCAGGAAAACATAGTATGGGCACATAGCCTTAGGAGACCAAAATCTCCTAAGGGACATAGATGACTATCTTGTTGGTTGTTGAATATTCCTTCAAAAGTACAGAGTACATAAAATGCACTGTTTCATCAACTTAGCCTGCTTTCCGGTCAGCAATTATTTTTCAGAGAGTTGGTTCTATTATGTGTCATATGAATATAATCAGGTCAAGTGGACTTTTAAGGCTGGACTTTTGTTCTGAATAGAGAAATGCACATGTAAACTACTCATTGGGAGAGTTATATGTAAAAGTGGTATGGGTAGAACCAAAATCTGTAGGTGATAACACTTGAAAATATCAAGATCTCATGACCAGACCAATGTATTTAGCTTCCTTAATAATGCTAGAGCAGATATATAATTTCAGGGACTCAATTTCCTTAATATTAAGATAGTTTAATAATGTCTCATATGCGTCAAACTGATTGATTGGTTTCCAGCTCATATAATCTGAATTATCTCTTGTTTCTTATGAGAGTGTGCCTGTTTGCCCCGTGTGGTGTGTGTGTGTGTGTGTGTGTGTGTGTGTGTGTGTGTGTGTGTGTATTTGGCTTTGGAATGATTTGCCAAAACCAATATATTAAAAATATTTTAGTCAAAATTCCTTCATTGTATTTAGCCCAGTCTTGAGTTTCAGTCTTGGCTAAACTGGTGCCACTGTCATATTATTTGACACAATAGACACAAAGTCTAGATGCCTCTACCCTTAGATAATAAGATTCTCTTGAAAAACTTGAGAAATGTAAGTAGGAAGAAGGATGGGTTACAATTCTTTATTGAATTTCTTTTCTTCCATGGCCACATTTTCTCTGGTGTGCTCATTGCTTTCTGCTGAGGCACTCGGCTGATTCCTATTTTCAACCAGAAGAAAGAATTTTTTGTTTATTTTTGTTGTTGTTGTTCCTTTCAGAGAAGTTTTTATTACCAGTGTGAACCTCAGTCTTACTAGGAACCAGGAGAATGAATACAATTTGTATTTCACGCCACAGAAGGTAGATATGGGAATCATCTTAGACTTGCTTATGGTAGTTAAGCAAACATTTCTTATTGGTTACTGCTCTATTGTTTTCCTGGTGGAGTCTGTAACAAGTCTGAATCATTCCACTTCAAACAGAACTATTTGCAGTGAAACAAATTCATGCCAATTTTCCTACCAAAACCAAGATAACTTTTCAGATGGGTCTGGAGATCTCTCCTTCCACAGTGTTTGTAAGCTCATGGGATACAACTGATCACTGCTTGGTAACAGCAAATTGATGCTTGCTGTGAGAGAGTTGACACTGTGTAGATCACCTTACTAAGAACGGACTTTATCTGCCTAGTGGAAGAGTTTGAATGCAAGAGGTAGGAGGAGGGCCTTGAGGGATAGGTAACTGAAGTTTTAGGAAGCACTATGCCTTTCTACACACACTCTTTAACACTGAGGAAGGCTTCCAACTTGGATTCTTATGTTGCTGGAGCTACTTTGACCTTGACACTTGAAGTAGAACCATAAATCTGCCAGGATAGAACTGCACCAGAGAACAAAGCCCACTCACTGTAGTCCCATTTTCTCCATGAACCAAGATAATCTGCTTTGTTAAAAGCTTTGTTTTAAATTACTTTATTGACTGGTGAGTGAACATTCATTATCTCTTTCCATTTTATATTTCCCCCTTTCTACTCTACTTCATTATGAATATCATAGAGACACAAGTCATCATTAAAATCATAGTTCCTCATTCTCACTTATAAATGTATTAGACATGCAAAGTCTTCGGTTCTTCCAAACCTACTAAAGTATAAAATCAATGCTTGGAGGCCGTGAGCTGGTGCCCTGACAGGCCTTTTTGGGTGCGTATGATCTCACTTCTTAGTGGTGTCTACATCCTATGAAACTTCTTAGAAGGAGAATGAGGCAAGACCTCATGTCCAGACTGCCCGCTTTGGGAATACATCTTGGCACTTAGGAGGTACAAAGTATAGTAAATATTAAATATTAAACTGATACAACATCAAATTTCACTACCTTTTCTTTCAGATAATTCTCATAAAATACCTATTTACCTATCTATGCTCTTTCCTTCGTAAGAACTATATTGAAGTTTTAATATAGTTCACATAATAGACAAAAGGTAGACTCTTCTACACACGTGGTAGGGGCAAGTGTGGGAGAGGGCATCTTTTCTTCACCCTCACCATCATAGCTTAATTCATTTTTGTTGCCAAATAATATTCTATTGAATAGATATACCGCATTATATTTATATATTCTTCAGTTGTTAGATATTTAATTTGCCTTCTTTCTGTTATTATATTGCTTTTATGAACATTCATGTACTTTTTTGTTATTACTTTGACAAAGTTTCTCTATATATCCCAGACAAGCTTCAAATTTGCAATCTTTTTGCCCTAGTCTCTCAAGTACTGGGATTACAGATTGGCACAATCTTGCCAATTTTTTTATTTAAACTCTCTTAAGACAAAATAGCAAAGTCAGCTAGTTGTGTTAATATTTCGTTGAGAAACGAAGTAACAGGTCCTTTATGAATTTGCACATTTGTGGGTCTACTAAAAAACATGAGGTAAAATAAATTTACAGATTTCACTTGTCTGATCTTTTTTCAGTACTCTAATTCATTTATTCCCCCCAATTTCTTACTTAGTCAAGGTGAGACTGGTTTATTTCTATGAAGTGTTGCTCCTTTCTCATCTTCTCTGAAAGGGGAACATAATCAGTAGTATGATAGTGTCCTACTGAGGTATTGCTCTTCATGGAAAAATAGTACATGAAGCAATAAATATCTCTGGCTAGTGATAAAATGGTGAAGCAGAGTTGATGTATCAAATGAATACAAATGCCATTTACAGCCTCATGTACTTCAGTATCATAAATACCACTCTCATTCAAGTAAAAAGAAGACAGTAGAGCATAAACCCCATGCACATACATAGAGGATACAAATTAAAAATTAGGTCTTTCTGCCAACCTAAGTTATAATTTGATTGTTTCCATAGAAGTCTATAACATAGAACCCAAATGATTATTATTTTTTTGCAAATTTTAAGTAGAATTTTTAAAAATAGTAATTAGTTGCTTAAAGTGGACCATGTGGTAGAAAGGGAACAACAATCTATACATGGAAATATCCTTGTCATTAGGAATTAGCACAACTTAAATGTCAAGTCATTAAATACTCATCAAATATCAGATACTATTCTAGTTTAAACATGCTATGGTTGTTTTTGAAAGATAGGTTACATTATGTTATTCATGCTCATCTTGAACCTTTAAAGCTCTTGCTATAGCTACCACTGTAGCTGGCGATGTTTTCATAAAACAATATATAAATCATTTCTGTACTTTAAAACTATTTGGAATATATTTAATGGGTAAATCATAATTTCCTATAACATACATTAATAAAACAAAATAAAGTGAGAAAAAATGCTGTATTTCTAATAATTTTTTCACTTAAATTCTCCCACATAAATTTAGCCAGGAAATAGTTTACTTATTTTTAGATAATATTTTCTATATAATATAAAATGTTATACATTAATCATCTCCAACATTGTTGATAAGTGGCCTTTTAGCATATTTGTATTTCAAAATATATTAAAATGTACATATTTGAAATGATTGATAAAATCATGGTAATTTCTTAGAGCATACGTGCACCTTAAGATTACTCAAATACATATACCAGACAGTTCAGCTACACGACTTTAACCCCATCCCTTGTGTATCAGAGGCAAGCAGAACTCTGTGAGTTTGAGGCCAGCCTGGTCTACAAAGTGAGCTCCCAGACAGCCTTAAAGTTACAGAGAAACCCTGTCTTGACAAACTAAAACAACAAACATCAACAAAAGAGATTCCTCAAATTCACACTACAAATCAATTCATTGTTTTTACAGATGATAGGTCAGTATTATTTCTGGCTGCTTATCATAAATAGATTTCAATATTTAAATCCATACAAATGTGGGTGAGTGCATAATTTGTCTGTTGGTAGTCAACACTCTTCACTTTTGCCTTGAGCTATAGATGCATTTTTTAAAAATCTTGGTGTATCTTTCAATCCTCTCACCATTTGTTTCCATTTTACCTTGGTTGAGCAAAAAATCACAGGGCATAATGGTTAAGACCCAGGTTACTAGAAGAAAAGTGCTTGACTTCCAACCCCAGCTCTGTTCTTTTATAAATGCCAGAGCTAAATGGGTATAGAAACCAATTATGCAGACTTCTAATCTCAGCGCTTGGGAGGTAGAGACAGGAGGATCACAAACCAAGATCATGGTCAGCATGGACTCTCTAGTGAATTCCATGTCAAGTCTGCCTGGGTTACACAGACAAATCTTCTCAAGCTGGGTGTTGGTGGCACATGCCTTTAATCCCAGCACTTGGAAGGCAGAGGCAGGCAGATCTCTGTGAGTTCCAGGTCAGCCTGGTCTACTGAGTGAGTTCCAGGACAGCCTCCAAAACAATACAGAGAAACCCTGTATTGAAAAACAAAAAACAAAAACAAAAAAGTTTCTTTAGGCAGTTCTCTGTCCTGGAACTCAATGTGTAGACCAGGATGGCCTCCAACTCAGAGATCCACCTGCCTCAGCCTCCCAAGTGCTGGGATTAAAGGTGTGCATCACCACCCCCTGGCTACCATATTGTATGTGATTAGACAGACCTGTGCTGTTTGTAATGCACCTGCGTGGTGAGCCTGCTTTTCTACAATTAGAACCGTGCTTCCAATAATTGCGAGAACCAACAATTTGAATATTCAAGGAAGAGAGGTTTGAATGAATTCAATTTCCTCATGTAAGGCATGGGAGGGTACATGAGACGGAGGACACGTAGCGTAAGACTCCTGAACACTGTCAAGATGGAACTTTCCATGTAAGAAGTAGCCCAGCTCCTGACACCCTTTCCTCCTAGTCCCATGGAAACCTACCTCTTCATTGTTTTTCATGTTCCTGGGTCACGCTTTAGGAAAGAAAGGGTGGCCTAGGAGATGGCAAATGAAAGGAATGTAGGTTAGCCAGGTTCGTGACGAATTTCCTATAAAAAAATCACTGTGCACAATATCCTATTTGAAATAGCTTATATGTTTTACCTGTTATATGTGTTGAAAGATTATATTTGTGGCTTATCAAAAGCACAGAGAATTTACACTTGTACTACTGTACTCCTATTTAAAGATTTGAATGTTATTTATTTTTTCATGTAAAAATGAACTAAATATTAACATAACATTTTTGAAAACCTTAGAAGTCTTTAGTTATTCATATTTTCTCTTAAATTGTACAATAGCAATGATTATGTATTTTTTAGAAATAAAATTTGATTGAATATTTGTTTAGAAAAATTGAGTTGTCCTACTTTTTTCATCTCATTTATGTTTATTTTTGAAAACAGTGCACCGATTTTTGTAGTAGCTTTATGTTACAACTTCACAACTAGATACGCCCTACCTGTTCTTTAGCTGGTGAATATTCAATTTGTATACTCCTATCATGAATTATCACTTAGCCCCAAAAGGCATAAAACTGTTGATATAGGAAATGATGTGAATGGTCCTCAAAATCATTATGGCAAGACAAAAAAGCCAGTGTCACTGGTTCCAGATCACTTACAGATCCATTCGTGCAGCATTCTAAAATGCCAAGTTGTAGAGACACTCACATCTCATGGTCCTGATTTATTTATGTAGCTACGGCCTTCGCGTTTGCTGCTGTCTCTTGGACCCTTTCTTCTTGGCATTGTTTTTCTTCATTGTGTAAACCAACATCCTTTCCTTTATTTTGTTCCTCCACGTTTTCAGTTTCTCCTCTCTGGATCATGTAGTGTCACCTTCCCTAATTTTTTCTACCTCCTGTATCCTGGTGAGAGAGAGAGAGAGAGAGAGAGAGAGAGAGAGAGTGTGTGTGTGTGTGTGTGTGTGTGTGTGTGTGTGTGTGCGTGTGTGTATGTTTGTATGCCTTTGGTGATGTGTTCAATTCAACACTTGCCTGTTGGGAATGAAACCGATCAAAAGAGGGGGTGGAGAATGGGCGGGGTGGACTGACTGTGGACTGGCTGGTTAACTGGGGGATGAAAAGGCAAATTGACAGAGGTCGATTCTCTTCCTGAACACGGATGAGCCATGGGTATTTGTTATAGATGAACTGGGGGGGGGACAAAGTGCTGTGACTAGGTTTTTGGTGACTCTTTGACAAGTACTTTGTTGTTGTTGTTGAAAGGGAAATGTTTGATATATTTTGATGACTAAAAACGAAATGGGAAGTTTAAAGGAAATATATATTCAACACAGTCTGCAAGAAACACCGAAGTACTCTGATATTCTTTTCAAAGGCACCAGGTTTGAAAGAAAAGCAATTTTCAGATACTTCTAGAGAAAGACGTACAGGTGATTAAATATATACACAGCTCTTCCAACCAAAATGTGTTTGCTCTTTTTAGAAACATTGACTGCTAATCCTATATGGATTGATGTAGTTACAAACATTATTAGTTACATTTAAATTAGTAAATGTTATTAGAGTATGATGATGAATACAAAAATCTTCTTTCGAAGTTATTTATTAAATACTTTGTTATGTATCTGAATGCTTTAAAATACCTAAAAATTAATTTACAAGTATCCTAACAGCATAAAATACAATCTGTAAAACAAATAACATCTTGGCAAAAGATATGTTAATCTCTGTAGCAGGAAGGTTCACAGCAACATCCAGGTAGTGAGTGGACTCACCTTGAAATTCCCACTGCTTTTCTGTGGGCTGTCTTCACCCTGGTTGACACACTCACTAAATCAATGCATGTTGTTAGCTATGGACACATAAAATTACAATGTTAAAGAATAGGCCATCCAAGTGGAAAACTTAACATGTGTGTAAGGAAGAGAAAATCAATGTCTGTAAATTCCAACTATGCACAACAAAGCTACTTAGAACAGAATTTTTGAATCATTGTCTAGTTTTAAAAATATGTGATATTTAAAATATTAGCAATTTGGTCAGGAAAAGGAAAACATCAGATAGCATATAACAATATTGTTTATTTGCTTAGGCATCATAGTATTCTTTTTTTTCCAAATTATGCAGAATGTTGGAGGTTACTCTTGAATCACGCTAGACATCTGAGTACTGTCACTGAATAATAATAGTCTATTGGTTTTTAGGTGTATCCATGTACAACTACAAAAGTTCACATATTCCCCTCTGTGATAAATCACAGTAATATGACCTTTAATTGTCACTATCAATGGAATATAGGACTTTAAAAGTAGAGTTCCCTAAATGCATTCAGATAATTGTGTACATGTTCTAACAGTCTTAGGCATTTTAAGCCTCTAAATTGAACACACATGGGAACCACAGTGCAGTGGTGGCTCTCCCATTTTCTCTTCCATGCTCACCACTGAGGTGTAAACTCTTGGCCACCCTATTCTGCCATGCTTCTGTGGACCCCTCTGCGACAGATTAATTTCAGTCTCTGTAGTACTATAATAAGTAACAGCTGACTGTTCCAGGATAGCCTTTGTTGTATAGAAACATGCTAGACTGTAGTGGTAAGTTTATGTGTTTGCAGACTAAAAACAAAACCTTAGAAGAGTTAATAGCCATAGATGGTATATGTTGCCTTCTTCTTTGCTACAAAGCTGTGTCAATATAATCTAGGAAACAGGAAACAATGCTTGCATTTGGTATTGTTGGCCATTTCGGCATTTACTATCTATCTATTCAACTGCTTCCCTTGCATTGCCGTTGCTAATGAATGTTTGGATAAATAACTGAATTTCCCACTTCCCTTTGCCTAGGTAGGCCTGAGGACAGCCTTCTGTGCACTGTGCTCTAATTCACAGCCCGAAAGAATGACACAAAGCACAGTTCCAGCTCTGTGAGTGGACTGGAGATGCTTTAGAGAAATGTAGGGCTTCTTTTCCTATGTTAGTAGGAAGTCGTGCTCTGGGCCATTATTTTCTGCACATCCTCCAGTATGATTATGCTCAACAGAAGTGAAAAGGGAGGGAGAGGGAAAACAAAACAAGAACAAAAAAGCTGAATGTGAAATGCTATTATTAGCAGAGCTCTGAGTCTGAATAACATAAAAGCTACTGTTATATAGGAGTGTAGTAATGCATGACTTTAATCCCAAGACTCAAAAGGCATACAGACAGGTGGACCTCTGCGAGTTCAAGGCCAGCCTGGTCTATATATATAGTGAGTTCCACGAGAGCAGTGCTATGTAGTGACCCTGGGGGAAAAATGAGAAAGAAAAAGCTATTGATGATGTTTTATAGACACCAGAATAAATTTGCAAATGAAAGTGAATAAGCAAACAACACATAGCAGCAAATGTGTTTAGCACTGCTAAGTGCTTTTTTTCATCAAAAGTGGAATGCTCTACCTATCTATCTATCTATCTATCTATCTATCTATCTATCTATGTTTATAGGAAACATCTGACCATATTTCTTAATTCAGAATAGTTTCTTTTTTCAGCTTTTTAAATTAGGGCTTCTTGGTGCCACTTTATTTTTAAAACACTAACAAGAAGACTATCTCCAGCTTGAAATTCACTGCACATCCCTTGACCATCCTCCAGGGACTGGATATTCTGCTCTGCTTTCTTTCCCACTTGCCTCCTGAAAGGGTTTTCTAAGGAGGTAGAACCGCTGGACCTTTCTGCCCTTTTGTCTTTCCTTGATAAAGAATAACTGTTGAGAGCTCTCAAGAGATTATGAATCATGTATTTGTTCTAAGTAAAAGTTAATATTTTTCCATGCATTAAACTCTCTTGCAGAATTGATGACATACAAAATATTCTGCAATGCTTCACTAATTTATTTTCCAATTAAAAAGATTTTGCTTAAATGAATGTTAGACATTGATGTTTTGGCGTCTTGCTCAGATTTTAGGTCATAGTGCAACCATTTTTATCATCAGTCCTTTGATGTGTAAACATTTTAGCACGAATGACAGATTTTGGTGACTTAGGGAACTTTCATTATTAAAAGTAATGGAATATACTATGGGCTTTATAGAACTTCCCCAAATCAATGCAATTGAGATGAGAAAACACTATGAAAAGATATGATTAATCCAGTATGTTATAGAAGTGGCCTTGCTTTAGCATATATATATACATACATATATACATACATACATATATACATATATGTATACATATATATTTAAAGAAACTCATTTGGAATATTTTCATTAAAAGTTTGTGTTGACAAAAACAATTAGCAACCAAACCTCACTACAGAGAATAAAATGATTTAGACTTGTAGTTGAAAACCACCTACCCTTCAAAGTAAGAGTTGTAGAAGCAACTTCTTTCTACCATAGCTTCAGATACTGCAGAGCACAGTATTTTATCAGATACCCAAAGACATTGAGATCTGGCTCAAAGACCAACAAAATTAATAATAAAACCTTACTTACTTTCTCAAGAACTTTATTACATTCTTTTTACTCTATAAGCCTTTTGACCTGAAGAAATATATAACATTGGAAATCATGTACCATGGTAGGAAGTCTGGAGTATTAATGAAATAATTGACAGACTATATTATAATGATATTTTAGTAAAGGACATTATGATACCAACACATTATGTAGACAATAATGAGCATCTAATTATCTTGCTCTAATCCTCATGCTGGAGAACATCAGCCTGTGACTCATTGAGAATTGAAAAGAATGATGGATCTGACTATTTGGGTGTCTAGTTTTGGGAAGAGAAGGTATCTGCAGTTGTGATATATCCGTCAGAACTGTAGCTTTCGATTCTTTTACATCCCACTGCATCCCTATTCCTGCAGCTCTGGTGCCAAGCTCTCTGCCCAGCACAAAACAAACTAAGTTAAGTCGCTCTGGGGTGCCTTTGTGAGGCCACTCAGAGTAGGAAGAAGGAAACAAAGGGCGGGAGAGAGAGGCAGAGGACATAAAGAAAACAAATAAGGCGTGAAAAGGAAGAGATGAGGGGAAGGCAAAGCTAAACCACTGGGCCAAGCACCATAAAATCACAAACACGTTTGTGATCTGGCCAACAATCACCCTTACCATCATCATCTCTTTGTTTGGGGAGGTTGCCTTTAGAAAATCAATTCCAAATGAGTCTATCCTTCCAGAAACCCTTGGGCCCCTGGGGAGAAGGGAAGGGTGATTAAAAGTCTTACATCCATAGGAATCATTACAGACTTTCGCCTTAGAGGGAGGGTCTTTTATTTTTTATTCCGTGACTTCATGTCAACAGTGCTTTCACACCTTCTGGAGGGAGCTGAAGACTTTGTGCTGCTTCATGAAGCCTATCCAGCAGCGGCCCACCAAATCTATTCTCGAAGGCGGCCTGAGACAGGCAGGGGAGGTGTAACTGAAGACCTTTTTTGTTTTGTTGTTTCTAGAAGACCCACGCAAGCCCTGCCACTGCTTCTCCCCAGGAGGGAGGTGAAACCAGCTCACCCTCCATGTTTCGGATGTTTGCAGAGTGCTACCTGTTTCTGACCTTAACCTCCGTTCTGTGTTCACCCCAGCAAAGGGAGTCCACCCGGCAACAACGTCGTCCAGGAACGCGGTCCAGCAGTCCAGCAGCAATCAGGGCGGGCAGTTTTTCAATCGCTTGGAAGGTTGTTTGCTAGGATGTTACCAAGGCCCCTTGCCACAGTCACCGCCCAGGAAGGAGTATTTATCCCTATACCCTTCATTCCTACATCTCAGTAGGAAAGAGATCTTACAGCTACAGTTCGTTCTTCATCTATTCCCAGCCCTCCCCGAGGCCCGGTCCCCGCCAGCCAGGTAAACCGAGTCTAGTTGTATCTGGGCATAGGGCCGCTGGCATCATTAGCACCCAACCCCGTCAAAGGCTCTAACATCTGGCGCACCATGACAAACAGTGCCACCTGGTAGAGTCGACAGAGGCGCTTTCAAACGTACCACAAACCCCTCCTACATTTGTTGTCAAATCGTTTCATGACTCCTAGGCAGGCAGTAGATTCTACGCCTGGGAGAAAGGCTTGGGGGCCCCTGCCAGACTGTGCAGAAAAATAAAAAAATAACCCGGGAGGGGGCGAGCCAAGTGCTCAGCAAGAGCCTGCGCGCCGGTGGACGCCCGCGGGCAGCCAGTGGTCCCCCGGGGAGCCCATCGGGGCCGGATCGGCTCGGCCTCCGCTCTCCCCACGGCGGGAGCAGGCGACGCCGACTTTGGGAGTTCCTCTCTGCCTTGTATGGAGGGCTGCGCCCGGCCCGTCCCCGCCCGGCTCTGACGCCCGGCCCTCCCGCTGCCCACCCCCAGCCGCCGCCTCCCCGCGACCCGCCCGGGGAAGGCAGCCCGAGCCCGGCTCCGGCCACCCCCATCCCCGCGGCAGCCGCGTCCCCGCGCCGCCCCCTCCGCCCCCGCCCCGCCCCCGCCCTCGCTCGCCTCGGCGACCGCGGATAAATCAGGGAGGCGAGCGCGGGGAGACAGAGCGCGCGGGCGCCGGCAGCAGGCTGGCCGAGCTCCGTTTCCACCGGCGCCCTTGATGGCGGCGCAGGCGAGGCAGCCGAGGCACAGAGCGGCCAGCACGCGTTAGAGAGCCCGCCCGGCCCCGCCCGTGCCCTGCCCGCCTCTCCCCGCGCGCCCTCCCGCAGACGTCGGCGCCCCGGCTCGGTGCCCCGGCCCCCCGCGTGCAGCCCCGCCGCCTCCGGGCCGCCAAGGAGGGCACTGATCTTCGATCGCGAAGATGGCTGCTGGCTGCCTGCTGGCCTTGACTCTGACACTTTTCCAATCTTGCCTGATCGGCCCCTCGTGCGAGGAGCCCTTCCCTTCGGCCGTCACGTAAGTCGGCGGCGGGCCCAGGCGGGGACTGGAGCCGGGGGGTCCCTGTTCGGCGCCGGGCAGCCCGGAGGGGCGGGGACGGGGAGAGCGTCTGGGAGCCGCGGAGGCCGGGAGGGCGAGCGGGCGAGCCCTGCGCTGGCTGGCCGCTGGAATGAGCTCGGAACGGGCTTGCGAGCCTCGGCCGGCCGTGCCGTCCCGAGCACTGTCCGGCAGCCGTCGGCGGCGTCTCTGCCGGGTCCCCGAGGATGCTCCACGCTGAAGCCTGTGGCCGGACTTGGGGAAAAACTTTGCAGGCGTACCCAGCTCCCACCAAAGCCGGGCAGACGAAAAGTTGTGTTTCCGTTAGGTATTTCACAGAGTTAATTTCAGGCTGGCCCGGGGAACGTGCGCTTCTCCTGTACTTGGTTTCTAAGATGCTAATTGCTGTGCTGCCCAAACTCATTTAGATCCCAAATTACTGGGAGCGCCTGACAGAGTCCCTGGTTTCCAGCCAGCTCGCTCCCGGCAGCTGAGCGTGCTGTCCATCCCAGAGCTCACAGGTACCAGGGCCACCCAGGCAACCTATCCAACCCTTTATTTGAAACATCTAAGTGCCGACAGACACGCGGTTCCTGTTCTTAGAATGAATAGAACCCCTATTCTTTGAGGGAGGGACTGTTGCCACGGTCTCCTGCAATTTTCTCTTATTTTTAACATTTCTAAAATAACTTTCAAAAAAAAAGAACCCGTTGCTATTCTGGAAATAGAGTGTTGAAAGGTAGCTATAGTCACAAGGCGGAAGGGAACGCAGTGCAACCATTCTCTGCTCTCTCGGGCTGCAAAAAGGAATCAGAGTCAGTGGCACATATAAATATATACATCTATATATTTTTAAAGCGCTGAATAGCTTATCTGGCATTTTGGGAAAGCATTTATTTTGGTCCTTGAAGGTACGTTAGAGCTTCTCAGAGTAGGTAGTCTTAAGTGGGTGAGTCACTTTAATGCATTTTACATAACAAAAACAAAGCCCAAGGTAGCCTTCCCAGCTTTTATACTGCGGGGAATCACTTGCTGTCCTTTGTTGGCAGGGAACTCAATCCTGGAGTTTTAGGGTAATACTAGAAGTGCATCCGTAGTAGCTGGAACCCGACAGCTATTATTTAAGATTTGGCCTAGAACATTTATCACCTTAGGTGTCAGTGCAAGCATCCAGAGATCCATATTCCAGCCCGGAGAAATGGGTGTCTAATATTTTTGTCATTAATTTACAGTCGTGTTCTCTTTAGGTACTCTTCCATAAAAATGATAACATATCTTTTTTGTTATGAAGCAAAAGGGTAAATGCCATCTGTAGAGCTTCGTTTAGTTGGCAGGGTGTTCCAACTGTTTAATTTTAAGCATGAGAAGTCTAAGAATTCCCAAGATGCTAGAAAAATCATTTAGTCTTATTAAGAAATCGCACTTTTGCTTATATATATATTTTAGTGCTTTTGAAGCTTGGCCTATTACATAAGAACTCGGGTGACACTCATGCGTTTTGTGTCAAATAACTTGTGGCTTTGAAGAAATCACATTCTTTCTCGGGTTGCACCTTTTTAGTGCTGTTTTAAGTTGATTTGCCAATATTTCTATCATTTGGGGAGGGTGCTTCCTCTCATTAAGGAAAACAAAATGCAACAAAACATAATAATGTCGTAGTAAATAAACTATTAATGGAAAAGTCCTTGTTACATGAACATATGCAATAAATGCTTTTCCAAAATTAACTCCATTTTCCTAACCAGATATGTGCTAAAGATATGGACAAGATCAAATGTGACTTTAAGATGGGAATTAGGGCACCACGATTCCCTTTCTTTGAAAGGGTTTGAATTGTTTCCAAACAATGGGAGTATAAGAATATTTCCATACTACATGAAACACTGTTGTGGACTCAGAACAGGCTTTGTGGCTCAAAGTCAGTGGACTGAGGGTAGCAGAACAACGCTTCTGGAAGCCTTCCCTGCTTCTGCAGCTATTTCTCTGAGAATTAGCAATTCTAGCTTCGGAGGAAGCATAGGTGACATTTGTACTTCATGTTAGATTTCAGAATAAAATCTGGGAGAAAACATGTGGCATCAGTCTCATCAAGAAACAGTGCCATTTGCTTTGCTTGCATGCAAAAAAATGTAGTGGTTATCAAAATAAAACTCAGCTCTTTTGGGGAAAATAATCAAGTTTATAAGAAGGTAATCCAAAGATTGTAACAGTTACTAAAGGCAAATAGTGATGCTTCTACTTATAAATGTCCTTATGCTGGCAGTTATGTTTTTCAGCAAAAATATAAAATGAGAATGTTTCAGAAGAGGAAGACCATGCCATTAGCACACTGTAACATTGATTTGGCACTAATTGGGGTTGGGGCTGAATTACAATTATAATTAAAAGTTTTTTTTAGCAATGTTAATAGAAAAAGCTTTACTTTTGTAATAATAAATAAACATATTACTCCAAATGTTGAATTTTCAACCCTCTGTTTCAACAATCTAATAAATTATATTTTCTTCTGCAATAAAATAGTAAACTTATCCCAACAAGTAGCATTCAAACAATGAGTTTGTTTTCAGGCCAAGGAATTTTGATACAGTTTTCATTTTTTATGGGCTAGATGTTTCTTTTGGATATAGTGTTCAAACTAAGGTGTGAAACGAAATATATTGTGTGTGAGCAGGCGTTCCTTGCTTAAGGCTTCTGCTTCAATGGAAAACACATTACCTTCACATTCCAGCATATATATAGTATACTGGCGTTTCAAGACATGATTCTCAAAAAGGCCATCTTCTTTCTGGAATTACTGTCTTGGCACTCATGTTACAACGTATCTCCTTTAAAATTCAGGAACCCATGCGCACTGATCAGTATAGTAGTGTTAACTTAAAATCTGTCCTTAATTTTAGAACCCATTTATAAGCCCACGTTTAAAGCCTCCTAGCTAAAATTAAACTTTTATCTCAGTCATATCAAAGTGCTACACAGTGAAGAATGGGATGAAAGCCAATTGCTGTATTTGAATTTGATTATAAATTCATACTGGTCTAAATATGTAACTAAGGATTTTAGTTATTTTTAAGAAGTAAACATAAAATGTCATAAAATTTGGTCACTTGAGTATTCAATACTTATGATTGAAATTCTCTGTTATTATGGTGACACATTACTGGATGCCATGATGTTGGAACGGGTATTAGCTAGTCCATGTATTAGGAGTGAGTGATGTAGGGATGCTCACATGACCTTCCTGTGAATTTGTATTCTACATGGCATGGGGAAATTCACCTTATTAAAGAGCAGAAAGTAAAACAGTGTATATAGAATCTAAAATGGATGAGTGTTATAAGGCTAACTACATAAGAACATTAATTACCCCTCAGGTGTATGAGTAGACTCTCAAACATTAGGTGTTTTTTTCTGTATAAACAGTAGCATAGCATTTAATTTGTTATTGTTATATGTAGGAATTTACATAGCTATTCACATTTGCAATTCAGTGAGTATTAAGCCAACTGAAATAAAATCTATAAATCATTTTAGAAAAACATATGCAGGAATATAAGCTCTATGGTTATAAAAAGGATGTAAGTAAGGATATATCTTCCTTTTTATCCCCAATGGATTTTATTAATTATAATTTAATACACACAATGAATACTAGGATATAAAGCAGGTATTTTAGTTTCAAAATAGGTAAAAATATTATCACCCCTTTTCTTCAAAGAAACCTAAACATATGGATACCTTTCTATTTTTCTCTGACATAGAAAATAATAATATAGTGTGCTTCTCTGCTTTTCCATTAAGATGCATACAAATAAAGTATTGTCTTTAAATTTATCATTTTCTTTTAGAGCATACATTTATAACAAGGAGTGCAGAATTTTGAAAATGGTTAACTCTTCATGCTCACAGCTGTTATTTAATTCTTACGTTATCTATACCATAATTATATAAAATACCATACATTGTTCTTCTTTTTTCTATTTTCAACACAGATACGTATTTCCAAGACAGTCTTTTTTCCTTGATCTTGATTCCCACTATTTATCTTCAATGAAGTTTTAACTTTAAGCTAGAGATTTAAGTGGATGAGATGAAATTATTTGTGTGCAATTATGTGATTTTAGATCTCCTTTAGTGTCTTATAGATATAGACCCAGAATTTCTGACATCAGCACATACAGAATGCCTTAAAGAACTCAGAATTTGTTGTAATGCTTCCCAAATTCCATATCTTATTGTTAAAAGGTAACAGCCTGCCATCAAATACGTTAAAAGAGATGTCTGAGGTGGGATGTCAAGGGGTGTGTGAGCTGCTTACTGTGGGGATCGAACTGGTCCGTTGTTTCCACTCTTTGTTTCCTTGGAGCATGCAGAGTACACGTGTGCTGTGTCCGTGAGTGTGGCAGCCCCTTACTTTATTCTTGGACCTGCCTACAAGTAGCACTAAAACTTTTTCAGTCTTGCGTGCAGTTGCTTTCCTGTCCACGTGACCTGAGCAGTGGTAGCCAACCATGTAGCCGTACATAGTTCACTTTGGCTTTTATGTGCAATAAGACATGGAAAAGGGAGCGTCATATTTTTATAGAGTTGAAAGTGTCCGTTGAATACAGAATAACAACTTGTACTGAAAAGGTAGGGGCCCTGATACATTTGCTTCCTGTTACAAACATCTACAGGATTAGGACAAAATTAGATAGTCTGTCAAGTGTGTACAGCTGTACCAATCTTTAATTCAGTTAACCAAACTTTAACATACAGTATTTTGTATGTTAAAATATATATGCACAAATGTATATCCGTACACACACATACATACTGGATGGTTTGCTAGATTAAAACTAGAAACACACTTTGTGATGTAAGCTCATTCAAAGGGTCCAGGCTGTAAGGTTTCTATTAATCATTTACTATCTTTAAGTTTAAATCTCATTCCAAGTATTAGAATAGCTTGTTAAAAAGAGTAAATCTGATATTATATACCAGAG